AAGAACAAGGGTCTCTAGTTCTTCTCGCTGTAGTTCTTTTAATCGGCGTCCATTTTCTGATATGTGCTTCCATGGTTCATCCATAAATTCAAGATTTTAATAATTTCAAAACGTCTTTTTTTTTCCTCATCTCTATTGCGAATCCAATATGAATATATAAGATTTCAGTGTTATGATCATATACCAAGCAATGTAAGGCAAATATGCTTGAATATGAATGCGTGCAAACTAATAATATCTTGGCAAAAAATATTATTTCGATTAACATATAATAATAAAGTCATTATGGGTGTATTTCAAAATTCAAGTATAATTTAAGGAGTATGATATTTTGTGAATAGTTAGTTATGGTCATAATGTATCTTATAATGACGAAATTAAAATAATTATTGCAGAGACTGATATGATCTTTCAAAAATAGATTGTTAAGTACTATCATTAAAAGGTAATTGTGTTACATTCTATCTTTTGATGTAATTTTTAAAATATCTTGAGAATAAATTGAAATAAGAATAAAAAAAGAGTTAAAATGTGTTTTATTGAGATTGTTATATAATTAAGAGTTCCATTTTCAATGAGAGAAAAAAAAAATATTAACAATCAAAAAAAAGTCTTTATTTGACTCAAAGGAATTGAGAAGATTCACCGCGTGGGACTGGTTTCGAGAATGGTTTGATCATCTTCATTGCAAGGAATGTTAATTGAGTTAATTGGCCGGACAAGAGACCCAAGTTAGCTTCTTCTATAGATGAGATATCTGCATCAGTCTCATATGTATTTCTAAACCAAATTCCGATCTCATTTGCCTTGCGAACGAAATCTTCATCAAATTCGACTTCTTTATTCTTTATTTTCTGGAGATGGCACTCGATTAAGTCGAGATTGCGCTCGAGTTCTTTGTATGCTGATATTGTAAACTCAATTGACTTCTTTACGTCGCCACCAGATTGAAGTTCGGAAATGCAAATGTGTTCTGGGTTTTCAGTGCGATAGCTGTACTTGCATTCCTTCCATTTCTGATCTTCTTGGGCAAACAATTTAATAGGATGCTCGTCTTCACCAGTAAATTTGATTCTGCACAAAACAGGGTAAAAAATATTTAATTCTGCAGTAATTAAGTCCAATTCCTTGTCAGGGATATTGCCTATCCAGTAAAATCCAAGAGCTTTCTCTGATTTGTGAATATCAAGTTCGTATTTATCAAGTTCTTCATAAGCAGCGCGATTTACAACGATTTTCCCATTGTCGTTCTTGATGGCTAGCTGAAATGTGGAAATAACTTCGATTTTATCAGCATCTTCAATGCCATATAAAGCGCCTGCGAAATATGAAATATCTGGGAATTCCTTCATGTTAATATATTTTGTTAATGTGCAATGCTGTGACATTTGAAGAGCTGCCTGTGGGTGAAGATATAATTTCCTCATTCTAATTAATTGATGTCACTTTTCTGAAAATTATGCCAAAAATTTCGACGTCAGGAAATTTGACATCATAATTATGGAAAATTTGTACGAATGCGTTTCCCTTCCACTGTGATAATATTTATGAACAGATTTTTTGAGAATGAGCTGAAACTCAAAAATAAATGTTGGAAAACTAAAAATATGATCGACATATCTCAAAGTACTAACTATATGTATTCGTTAGTTGAACAAATTTCTATGATCATGCTTGAACAAGTTTAACTTATAGTCCGAATCATTGATAACAATATTTGTTTTATTTATTTGTTGCTTTTTCATATCTTATTCCTCTCTCCTTATGACTGTTCCGTTTCATATAGTCAATAGTTCTTTTCATCATGTAATCTTAGAAAAGATAAGGAAATATATAAATTTAATGTTTTTTAAGAGTCTGTTATCAATGAAGAATTAAATCAGCAAGGGTGGCTCTTCATCATTCAATGTTTATTGAAAAACTGAAATATTTATATATATAATGAAGATTTCCGCTATATTAGAGTGTTTTTTAAGGTAAAAAGGTATAAATTGAGGTAGCCATGTTTATTGCAAAATGATACATAGATTGTTACAACTTCATTCATATTTTATAGAAAGCATTTGATAAAAATCATATAAAAGATAGTGTGTCAAGCAATAATTTGCTCTGAAATCACGATATATTGTGATGTGCGTTCAAAATAGAATGTGCAAGTATTGATATTATCTTTATTTATCAAGTTCAAAATTAAAAAGTGACAATAAATTTAATATGGAAAATCTTAATGTCATTCGGCCCCTTCATCCACTTTTATCTGTAAAAGAGTGTCAGATCTCGTATATAGATGAAGTCTCCATATCCCAAAATGGGAAATTAGACAATAGATTGCTTGTTATCGCGACTCCTGGTGTATTTATTCTCAAAAAAGGTACTTTCATAAAATCAATGTATGTAGAGCATATATTTCCATTCTATAACATGTCCCATATCAAAATTGAACGCCAATTCGTAACAATTACAAAGCCTTCAACAACAATTCAAATTTCTCATCCAGATTTACTAAATATCGCGTGTATTATAGTATCAATTAGGTGCACTCTTTACGATCCTAAAACATTCCCTTTAAACATTTCAATCGCGATGTCATTACAAGAACAATTTCAACGACTCAACTATGATTATACTACTGAATCAACTCTAGCTGACAAATTCTTGTCATCATGCGCTGGATCGTCTACACAATTAGCAACAGATAAGTTAGAACAGTGTTATTCATTTTTATCGAAAATTAAAGAAGAATTAACGATATCACAAGAATTTTTATCGTTGCCATACCTTTCTAATGCTGTCTCTTCGTTCTCAAATGAAAAACATTTGACAACTATTTATTTGACAGATACAAACTCAAAGCAGCTATTTAAAACCTTCTCGTCTATCATTTCTACGAATGTTGGGATCAAATGCGTTGTCATGAATAGCGTAACTGTTCAAGGAGAAATGAAAGATTTCAATGACGCAGTTTCCACGACTAATTCGACTATTTACGAATGGGTTTTTAATTACTGTAACTTTGAATCGGAAAATTTCAAGTTATTTATTGAATGTTTCCGAAATTATAAAACAAATATCAAAACTTTGATATTTAACAACTGTTCGTTCACTCAATCGACGTTTTCTTACTTTACTCAGAGGTTCTTCTTCATAGATTGCTTCCATTCCTTGGAATCCTTCTACATTGGCGATGTAATTTTTTCAAAAGAAGTTTTATTCTTCCTTTGCCAGTTATTCGCTTCGGATTGGGTTCTTAAAAACAAAACACTCAAGAATCTCCTTATCCCTCGCTGCTACGTTGAGCTTGATACCTTGTTTTTGCAAATGCAAAATTTCGAAACCGGAATTACAACGGCGGACTTCAGCGGAAACATCTTTATTCATCCTCTTTCGAGTGATTTAGCCTCTAAGTTGAGTCCTTGTATCAATTTCATGTTCCCGGACTGTGGATTTGGAGAAGAAACATTTATATCTTTGATGCAAGTCCTTTCTTTGCATCGAGGACACACTCTTCGATTAGATCTGTCCAACTCATTATGTTCCCCTGCAAGCTGGAAGCGTTTTTACAGTATTGCTCCTACATTATCTTTGAAATCTCTTGTTTCATTGGTATGGAACGGAAATGTCATAGATAAGTCCTTCTGTGATTTCATAAAGAACCAGCCTAGACTATCCAAACTCTCTATTTCGGATTGTATCCTGCAATCTGACGCTGATGAGATTTTACCAGAGCTTTCCAAGGTTTTTTCGATCAAATCGCTATCGAGTTTCACCATAAGAGCGACCAAACCTCAGTTTGTACTAGGAAACAGCGTTGTTCCTCTTTTAATTCAGTTGATGAAAAAGAGATCTCTCAACGAACTGGATATTTCGGGTCAGAATGTTGGAGAAGAAAATATTCTGGCTTTGTTGGATAGTATGCCAATGGTTATGAAAGGAATCAGATTTAATAATAACATATTGTAAATCCGGATAAATTAATCCAGATTTTGAACACGATATTGAAGAAGAGATTGACTTTCGCATCATGGCCCGAAACAGATGTCGAAAATATCATAATTGCAACAAACCAATTATTTAGAAACGAAATCAAGTCAAGGATTGACGTATTGAAGAAGGAATTTGAAAGTAGATACGGTGTTACGCAGGTACAGAACGATCCGTTGACGTTTATCCACAATATCAAAAATACTTTTAGTAATAACTCATTAAGTAATGAAAATAAACCTCAAGTTACGTATGGATTTGAAGGAAGACATGTTGCTGCTGATAAAATGCTCAAATTCAGAGTAACTGACGATGAAATATCAAATTTGTTAAATGAATGCAATTCATTAGAAGGAAAAAATCCAATGGTTTCGATGTTGGAGTTTATGGAGGCAGAAACTTCACTCGCAAGGCTTGCAGACTATTTGAGTGGAATGCATGACTCCCAGTCCTCGGAATCCTTCGTATCTGTTAGAATTGAATAAAATAAATTTAGTTTTGTTTGTTTTTTCGAAAAAATAACTCATTTTTCTGAGATATTTACAATTTATACTATGAAATAGCTTGTATGCTTTCAATGCGAATTAAATATCATGTACTGATGATTTAAAATTTATTTGTACTAGTTAGATTATTGTCCATCAATTCGTAATCAAATCATGTTAATATCGCTAAGAAAAAATTAAGTTTTGCTCCCAACAATTGCAATTGAAGGAGTAGTAACTTGTAAAAAAAAGAAATAAAGAAAAATTTTTAAGGTTGTGAACTTTATTCTAATAGATTTCTATTGGAAAAAATACCACGGAGGCCACTCTCAAGAAAGAGGAGCTTATTTGGACCTCATCATCCTCCTCTTCCTTTTCAGTCTCCGCATACGCTTCTTGAGCCACTTGCCGCGCATAATCCTAAGTGAAGGGCCAAAACCGTTGGAATGTATTCAATTTGATATCGAGAACTTAGTTATCCGAATTTGGAAATTATTTTGAACATTAATGGTTTGATTCATGAATAACTTCATTTCGTTGAACTAAAATCAACTTTAGTGCAAGAATACAAAATCGATAAAATTGAATTCGCTTTTTTATAAGCTAAATTTGATATTAATTGATTATTCTTGCATAAACAAATCTGCATCAAGATTGAAAAACTCGAGAAAAGCAGGAAGAATTACAATTCCAGGAATTTGTAGAAGTTTGAAGAAGTATGATTCGATAGATTCGATTCTTTGTTCATCCGTAAGCTTTTCATATCGTACGAGAGCCTTTTTTGACGGAAGAGGATCGAGGAATTTAAATTCTCTAAAATAAGTTTGTATTATTTTATCAAATGCTTCAAAATCACCAGCACGTTTGAAAACTTCTTTGGACTTGACTTTATCCCCTCTCATTACACCCAATTCGAGTGAAACAACGTATAATAGATCTGATGTTTCATCATCTTCGAAAACTTTACAAGCTATAAATACTTTCGGATCTGCAGGCGATTCATCTAATAGAGATTTGGCATGTGGGCTGATCTCTGTCAATGAATAACTTTTCATAAATTAAAAAAGTCGATTATTTTCAATTGAAATTTATTTTTTATTTTGTAAACAAATTTTTACAAAAATGTGACACAAATTTAGCACTTTTTGAACGTTGTTTAAAAATGGATTTATCAAAATATGTAACTCAAGTCCAAAAAGGAGAAGATGAGCAAGTTAACCAAGAGGATGTGCAAGATACTCACATTCGTGGTAAACATACTCTCGATCCAAAAGTTGTTCAAAAACTCGAAATGGAAATTTTAAAGTCGATGGCAAGTGGCAAAAACCTCGATACTCCTTTTGGAGGCGCTTTACCAGATGCATCTATTACTACTGCGACTACTTCAATCGTTGCAACTTCAATTTTCAACAGTTCAACTGCCTTTACAATGGAATCGCTTACAGAACAAACACTTTCTTCTTTAGCTCCTCCAGATACTATTATGGAACAAGATGGAACTCAAGAGCAACAGCAAGAAGCTGCGTCGAGATCCTGTTGTGGTGCACCAGTTGCAAGGCCTGATCAGAATAAGCAAGCTGTCGCGCCGGATGGCTCACTACTACCAGCACAAATCATCCGAGGATCGCGGAAAAATATGTTTAGTTCTCGATTTGGATGAAACTTTAGTACATAGTTCATTCTTAGCTATTCCTCATGCAGATTATAGATTTAACATCGGTGTAGAACAGAATCCGGTTGGTGTTTTCGTATGTGTACGTCCAGGAGCCGAAAAATTCTTGAGAGAATTAGGATCTCTTTACGAAATTATAATTTTTACTGCTTCTTGCCAGGTTTATGCAGATCCTGTTATCGATTTCATCGATAAGGGCAGAGTTGTTAAATATAGACTTTATCGTGAAGCTTGTACAGACTTCAATGGCAGCTTTGTTAAAGATTTGAGCCGCTTGAACAGACCATTAGAGAAAATTATTATTATCGATAACTCTAGCGTTGCTTATTTGCTACAGCCATATAATGCAATTCCAATTGGGTCATGGTTTGATGATCCGACAGATAATGAGCTTTTTATTATACTAGAAAAACTCAAGCACCATCATCGTGCAAAGAATATTAACTCTATTCTTTATCCTGAATAATTTGTTTTGTTTTTGTTGCTTATTTCCTATTTGATAAATTGTTTCTTTACATTGAAATTATATTTTTGCTGCTTTTTAGATGCCCCATTACATCGAAATTTAATTTCTTTAGAAAAGGTGGTTTTCGGATTTGTGTTTGAGTTTAGTTCGAGCTCAATATATGGAAAATGAGTAAAATAATGATGGATAAGAGCAGCTTTCAAATTATTCAGAAAACCTCAAAGATTTTGATTGATATGTTAATTCTTGCATTCATGTTATTGAGCTAAATAAATGTTTCAGGGTTAAGGTATAAAATTCAGAATCCGAAAAATGATCAATAAGGTGGTTCTAGCTAAGTACCTCGGATCGTTTTTTATCTTTTTATCAGCAATTGCAGGCTTGTCATTCCCATTGTTCTTTAGAAAGGCAACTTGGCAAATCAGAGGTGAGTGTTTAGCAGGCGGAATTTTTCTTGGAGCTGGAATCGTTCACTTACTTGATGATGCATTCTTAAATCTTCAAAATATCAAGCTTAATTATCCATTAGCGCCAGCTGTTTGCTTAGCTACCTTCGTTATTTTTACTTTGATTTCTTTCCTCACAGTATCCGAAGAAAAACCTGCTGAAATCGCAACAGACTCACAAGATGAAAACATGATCACACTCATGGATGGTACACCTAATATGTTAAGTGATGCTCAATCTATAACACCAACACTATTCGGAACGAAATATCTCTCGATTCAAAAATGGTCGTTGTATATAATTTTATGCATCCATTCGTTCATTGAAGGCTTTGGCCTTGGAATTTTACTCAAATTCACAAAAGTTGTTGGTTTATATGTAGCTATGATTGGCTTCAAACCAATTGAAGCTTTTGCTTTAGGTCTGTTTATGATAGAGGATAGACCAAAAAAGTCTTTGTACTGATATTAAGTGTAATTTATTCAATATTAACTCCTATCTTTTCTATCGTTGGAATATATATAGATAAGTTAGCAGGACATGATACTATTGGTATTATTTCTGCTTTTTCCGCAGGATCTTTCCTTTATGTCGGTTCCTATGAATGGAAAAACCTTTTATACAAGAAGAAGGATTTCAGCAGAAAGGAGAGAGCATGGAATTACTTCATGTTCCTTGGTGGAGTAGTATGGATGCTCTTCATCGCAGAAATTGAAACAATATACGAATAATTTGTTTATGTTAAAGCTTGTCTTAGTTTTATTGTATATGACTAAATAGTAGATATGTTATGTATTGTACTTGTGTAAATACTTCTAATTTAAATGAAAATTTAATTTTTATATTACTCATTTCAAAGATTTTTAGATTTGAAACTTGAAAAATCTCTTGGAAATACATTTTAAAATATGAACGCAATGTCACAGGATCAGATTATCAACAGAGAGTGGTTCCCCCTTTATTTTTATTTCTTTTTCCCTCAACAATTTTTAATGGATAATCCATTTGCTCAACTTCGAGAACTTGTAGCAGGTTTGAACAGCCAAGAAGAGTTTAAATCTCATCTAGTTGAAATTGTTGCTTTAATTAGTATGATAAACAAGATGTATATCGATGTTTCATTTGCAAGAAATCAAACATTGCTCGAATTGCAAAAAGTTGTTAAGAACGTTCATGCCATTCACTCAACTAACGATAGTTATCTTTATACGTGCCAAATTATGGCTGAAGATATTCAAAATATTGAAATTCCGCCATTCAATCTTGATGGTTTGAATATTCAACCAAGAGAAGAATTTATGGCTGCAGCAGGTATGACAGAAGAAGAAGCTGCAAAGCTTCACCCAGATGATTTTATGAAACAGCAAATGCAACATGAAATCAAACGTTACAAAGAATTAAAACAGCAATACCATGAACTGCATGCTAAATCTACTGAGCTTAAAGCCAAATTGGTCAATGTCAACAAGTTATTTGCTCCAATCATGACAAAAATTTGCGAAATGGACGAAGTTCTTAAAAACTTCAAAGAAAAGTACTTGAATAATCAACCTCAATAAGTACATTCCTTTTTTATGTTTTGTTTTTCTACATAAATATATTATTTGTTCGAATGTTAGATATTTGTTGATTTTTATACAATGTTATTCATGTTAAGGATAACTGCATGCGAATTTTTTAAACTATTTTTGAAAAAATTATGATAATCTAAACAATATTTCGATAAATAGCCAATATCTTTCCAATTAAATTGGTTAATATGTATATTCAATTATTATTAATTACAATGGTATATTTAAATTTCATTAGCCCCAACTTTTATTATTCCAAAATTATTTTGAAAATGAAAATTTGAGAAAAAAAATTTTGAAAAATAAAATTATTTCCCCAATTTTAAAAAAAATTTGGAAAAATCGAGAAACAGAAACACACTAAATTAGGACAACAAGCAAACTTTTAGCGAATCTGGATAAAATATCAAAATTTGAGTGAAATTTGCATAAAATTTCAAAGACAACAATAAATGAACAACTTCTGTTCATACTCCAACTTCATTGCATTAATTTGATTAAAAGTATCTCATATTCACTGATCAATATAGAGAATTAATGCAATTTCAATTCAGATTAAAAGATAGAATTGTTATTGTATACAAATCGTTTAGTGATTTTATACATGTGAACAGAAAAAACAATAAAAACCTTATAACATTTAATAAACAAAACTTATTATTAAATTTTTACATTAATATATATATTTAATGAACGAGTTCGTAATGAAGAAGGATAGAATTACGCTTAGCAGCGAAAACTTCACTGCGTGGAACAACAGTAACTGTGGAATCACTGCATTTAACCCATCTTCTCATTCGAAGACCTCCTTCTTCAAAATGCTGTCTATAAGTGAAGTAATGACCTGCATTATCTGAACCAAGGAAGGCAGAAACAGATGTTAAACGGAAACCTGAAGTTTCATCTTGTATTTCACTTATTCCTGAAAGGCTTCCACGCATCAAAGGTACTTCTTCCTTAACTTCTTCTAAAGGAACAAGTGAGTAGTTTGTAATATCTAGCCATTCTGGAAATTCAAATTCTTGGTTAATTGGTCGACCAATTCCTACATTTCTAGTCAAAAAGAATAATATTGACCTTGGTAAAAATAGGATTGATCGCCTTAATTTCCTGTCTGTCATTCGATTACAGTGAGTACACTTAGATTGAATTGTAATTGGGCCAAAGTATTCTTGGAGCGCATTATTCAATGATCCAGACGTTACATCTAAGATAAATGTTGACGTCTGGTCAATACGTGAAGTTGATGAATTGCAAATCGGACATGTAATGGTTTCTTCGTAAATACAATGTGTAGGGAATATTCTACGTGTTGCAAATGCGCTGGTTGGTGATGTTAGTTTTTGCATAAGTTGATTTTCGATAATTTCAATAAATAAAGTATAAAATTCGTGAATATCAGTCTGAATTGTAGGATCTATAGTTAACCCTGCCTTTTGAAGTTGCTTTCTAAGAGATTTCGTTGAAATAATTGTATTACCATTTAATGGACGAGATAAACTATTTAAAATCTCATTAATTTCAGCTAAAATCGGATTTGTTTTCGGACATTTTTCAAAAAAATTGCGCCATTGGACTGAAGATGCAAATGTTTGAATTAATGAATTCAAATAGCATAGATTTCCAGGATTTCCAAGACCTGGTGGGAAGAAATTTGCAAATTGTCCAAATGGAAGATGTGGATCAAACTTTCCTTCACCAGATGACTCAAATATTGAAGAAAGCTGGTGACGCATCTAAAATTTTTGAGAGAATAAAATACTAAGAAGATAGCTACCAAATGATTTCTATCTATGTAAAGACGATCAAGATTATATTTACACACAACAAGAAGAAAAAAGGATGATTTTGGGAATTAAATCTGAAGATAACAATGAAGTTTATCGACAACATATCATTTAAATCATCTATACTGTTTATCTATCCTAAATTCGTTTAATAATTTTTCAAGAATAAATAGTTCCAAGAACGTTAGAATGACTGAAAACAAGGATGGAGCATTTTCTGGCAATTTTGAGAAAGAAATTACAACAATTCGTAGACTTATAAAACATGAACGATTCACTCAAGCAGCTCAGCAAGCGTCCAGACTTTTATTCCTCGATCCAACACAGAAAAAAGCATTCTATTATCGCGCTATTGCTTATGCAAACATGTGTGATATCCATTCTGCATTACTAGATATGCAGCGTGTCATGGAACTTGATCCTCTTAACTCTAAAGCTGCTGCTTGGTGCGCATCATTAAATTTCAACGAAGGCCTTTTATTACAAGAAAAGAAACAATATACAGGTGCTCTTAAGCACTTTAATCGCGCTTCACAATACGATAGACATAATATTAATTCAAGATTATTCGCTGCACTGTCACATATTGCATTAGGACAATATCCTGATGCGGTTTCAGGTCTTTTAGAAGCCAAGAAAACCATGAATCATCCTTACATCGATGCTTTACTTTCAAATACTTCTCTTCATTTTGATAAATTAGCTGAAGCATATGCCCAAGCTAACGATGCTCTTGCTCAAGATCCGACAATCCAATTGCAAAGAATGTTCTCGATCAAATTAAAGTTTTTGTCGATAAAAAAACCTCTACAATCGATGAGATGCTTATGAGTGACAGAAGAGAAGCCGCTCTTGTCGAAATCAACTCCTTACTCGAGATCAGACCAGATCTCATCCCAATGCGTGTCCATAAAGCCATGATTATGCGAAGTGCCGGAAATCTCGCCGAAGCTGAACGAGAACTCATCTCAATTCTCGACCAAACACCCAATGTCGAAGCCCAGCGTCAACTCGCCTTGACGTACAACGATATGGGCATTGGAACATTCATGAACGGATATCCACAAGAAGCAATTGTTTGGTTTGACGCCGCGATGAGAGAATCTCCTGATGATCCGAATTTCTTCATCAACAAAGGCGACTGCTACCGTGCAACAGAAGATTTCGAGAGTGCTCTTGCCAACTACCATAGAGCAGCTGAATGCGGAGCTTCTGGCGAAGGATTACAGCAGCGTTTGGCAATTACACATTACTCAATTGCCAGAGAAAATCTTAAGAAAGATAAAACAACAGCTGCTTTGTTTGAGTTGAATCAGTCGATCAAAGAATGCGGTGATTTCGCGGATATATATGTTGTTAGAGCCAAAGTCAAAGTATCTTTGGGACAATACGAAGAAGCTTTGGAAGATTTGATGACTGCTTTAGAGAAGGATCCGAAAAATGAAGAAGCAAGAAGATTATTAAATATCCAACAGGAAGAAATTAAAAAGAAGAAACCAAAGACAAAGCCAAAGTATAAGGTACCCGAAGTACAATTGTTCAGCATTGAAGATTTGAGAAGTAAGCCTTTCGATTACTTGAATGGAACAAAGAAACTCCCAAGAAAGAAATAATTATTTAATTATTAAAAATGTTTGTGTTTAATTATGATACATTTAAATCATTTTTTCTCATACGAAGTGGAAATACTTCAATATGGATTAGAAAAAATCTTTTTTTTTAAAAATATTTTCAGATATTTAAGCCACTAAAATAATTATTGAAGTAAGGGTAATATTTTTTAAAACAATAGTTTATTTATCAAAATATAAAACAACAAGTATAACAGATCTTTATATAAATATTTTATTTGCTGAGCAAACGGAATTTGATATATTTATTAAGTGAAAATTGAAGAGTTGAAAGTTTGTACTTAACTAAAAGTGAATTACTATCAAATTTGGATTAATTTTGCTGTTGTTGTTTTTCTTTATTCTCAAAAGCGATAATATATTTGATGAAATATTCCATATTTTCCTTTTGTTTGTCGATTTTATCTTTATCATGCTTTATTTCATTGTAATTTTTTCTATTATTTCTTTTATTTGATTCAATTCTTCTTCAGCATTGCTGATCATAGTAACCTTTTTAGTTGACTCATCTGCATTAATTTCATCAACAAAATTGGAAGCCTGAGAAAAAATCTTGTCAGCATCCATTTTTTTTTGGCAAAAATTTTCCACTGAATTATAAACTTGCCAACAAATTTTAAAACAAAATAGTGCTTTTAAATACACATGAGATGTCCATTCAAACTATCATGATATCGATTATAAAAAGCATTATTTCCATGAACTCAAATCAAATATCTACAAAAATTTTTGTACAAACTCAATTTATTACAAAGGACTTTGTAAATAAATTTTTTTTAGTCTGATTAACTATGATCAGACCTGATTTTTGTGTCACTTTTCATCAGATCTAATATTTGAATAACACTCACAGTAATATCAAAATATAACTTTTATTCTCAACCACGTTTCTTTTCAAATATTCAATCTTAATTTTCATTTGAAATTTATCACTCTAAAACTTGACAATCTGATCAGGATGTTCTTGCTCCTAACTATCTTTTCCTCAAAGACGCTTTTATCCAGTTGTGCCAAATGCCAAAAGGAGTATTCTAAATTTACAATGGGTCTCCACAATGCTTCCATTAAAACAGATTTTCCTTTTTGCAAAGGAAGTGAAAAATGCAACAAGGTAGCTTCTCAGCTCCAAAATAAGTTTAAAGATTAGTAACAACACATGACGTCTGTGTTTCCTTGGGTAAATGCCGTCCCAAACCACAACCACTTTCTCAAAATTCTCCAAGAAAAGGATCATCAAGCATTACACTTCATGAAACCTCTAATAACTGCGAATTCTGCCAAAACCTTATTGAATACTTAACTGGTGATGGTCTAAAGGAAATTTCTCTTCCTATATTGACTGAATTCGTTAAAAATGTCTGCTTTGCAATGAATTTCAACATGCTTTGCGGTAGCGTAAATCAGGCAAACGTTGATACTTTAATTTATCTAGTTTTAGCTCACTTTGATACCTTAGAACTTTGTAACACTGCAGGATTTTGCCAAGATGACTAAGTCAGCTAGTTAAATTAATATACTGATGAGATTATTAATTTGCATAAAACTATGTAATGATGTGTAAATGGAGATGCTTTTTGACTAAACTTTTATTTACGGAAAATGTTAGAACATTTTTATAAAAAATTGATTGAGAAATTTTATTTTAATATTCTAATAGGATAACTTATGAATATTGATATATTAGTTCTAACAAATAAAGTAACAAAATAATATTATATATATGCTCTTAATAAATTTGATATCTAAAATCATTGACAAACAGTTGCCATCATTGCAAATGCTTCTCCGTTAAATAAAGGAAAATCATTATTCCTCTAGCTCTATTTGGTTTTATTCTGAGATCTTGAGATTTGATTAACGGTCATCCTTGGAAAAAGTTAGACCAAATATCAAAATCCGAACAAACTCAGAGTATAGATACTATTATTCACTACCAATTAAATTGAATTTTTAATCGCGTCAAAACCGAGTATTTTAGAATATTTTGAGGGCAATTTGTTCGCTAAGTAAATCACGTAAAATGGAACTAAGTACGATCAATAACCTTCTGTGATGTAAAATCAAAAATTTTGAGAAAAGTGACAATGGAATTTGCAGAAAAATCGGAGATTACGTAGTTGAAAGAGTTCTAGGCTCAGGAAGTTGTGGTAAAGTTAAATTAGCCAGAAATATGCAGACAGGACAATTTGCAGCGATAAAAATTATCAAAAAATCATTTTTCGAAAGCAAACCAAATATCAAAGAGAAAATTCAACGAGAAGTTGCGGTTATGCGCATATTTAAGCATAGTCGATTACTAAAATTATTAGAAATCTGCGAAAGTCCTCATCATATTTATTTAGTACTTGAATATGCATCGAATGGAGAGTTATTTGATTACTTAATCAGTCGAGGCTGCCTATCCGAGGCGGAAGCCATGCATTTCTTTAGACAAATCATATTCGGCATCGATTTTCTTCATTCCAGATCAATTTGTCATAGAGATATTAAGCCAGAGAATCTTCTCTTAGATGAACACAACAATATTAAGATAGCTGACTTCGGTTTTGCTAGAATTGCAAGTTCTGATCCTCTTACCACTTATTGTGGTTCAATTTACTACGCAGCTCCAGAAATCGTCAATGGAGTTCCATACCATGGGTTCCCTGCTGATATTTGGAGCTGTGGAATTGTATTATACACATTATTAACAGTATGTTTTTTAATGAAATTTTAATAACAAAAAAAAATTTTCAAAAATTCCAAATTTTTTTTGTTATTAAAATTTCATATTTTTTTTTTTTAAAAATACTAACACACAGGGTAAACTTCCATTCCAAGATCCAGCATACAGAAAAACAGTTGAAAAGATTAAATCTGGACATTACGTGATGCCTGACGTTTCCGATCCAATTAACGATCTTCTTGCAAACTGTCTTAACTCCGATCCCAACAGTCGCTTTACTACAGCCCAAATCAAAGCACATCCAGCTTTCCGCATTGGTCTCCTGAAGATTACATTCTTTCCAAAGCCTTCCATTCCTTTCTACTCCGATCCATTCCCGTGAAGAGTTAGACCACAACGCTATTATAACACTCACACAGATGGGATATTCCTCGCAGGAAGAGATAGAATCACAGCTCCAAACACAAGGATCTTCGATGGCGAAGGTTTTGTATTTCATGCTGATTACACAAGGTTCAATTGATTCTCTTCCATGGCAATTCACTGAGAACCAAGACATGATGATGCCTATGGATAATTCCGGAATGGAAATGGAATCAAACCAAGTGTTCGGAGCAGGTTCTTTGGATTCTTACGGGCGAAGAAGACAAAACACTTATGATGTCAGTTCTCCTGAAGTTTATTCACTCGCGACAAGGGCACAATGGGGAAATTTCCCGAACAAAGAATATCCTCAAGAAGTAGTTCAGCCTTTTGTCGATATACAATTGCCAGCAGAAGTAATCTTGGCTCACATGCAACAGTTGCTCTCCAATCTCTGCTTCAAATGGTTCCATCCTGATGATATGACAATCATCGCAAGAAGACTTGAAGACAGAGCAACAATCGTTGTAACATTAGAATACACGGCTGAGGAGTGGATAACAATGAATTTGAGCTACTCGGAGATAGAACAATCTGAAATATATGTTCTCAATGATACAGTTCTTAATATGTTAAGTGAATTTTAGAAATTTTTAATTTATTTTTTTTTTAAATGTTTATAAATAAAATATATATACTAGTGTTTATTCTCAGGCACATAATGATTGTTTTTCTTATTTATGTATTTATATATCAAGCACTTCGAATTCTCATAATCCTAATTTCAAAATTATAAGAATTCGCATATGATACGGAACTTTCTATAAAGTGGCAATGGAAATTAAATAGGAGATCATTCTCGAAAATGGAGCAGAGATTCAATCACAAATAAATTTTAGACATAATTACCTTATTTTCACATCAATTGTTTCCTTAAAGCATATATTGTTTAGAGTTGGTTCAAATAGTGCATAAATATTGAGTATTTTTGAAAATTTATAAAATTTTTGAATCTTTTCCTTTAATGACATTACATTTAAATTACTTTGATAGCACATATACTATTTGCATATTTCAAAATATCAAATTCTTTGATGAGTGCAGTAGATTTTTTAGTCGAACGATTTAACATCATTCAGAATGGAAAATCAGATAATGCATATGAAGTGTCTGCCGAAATCAATGAATTCTGTTCATCTTTGAATGCATTTGAACCACTTATTGAAATCCTCAAATCTTCAACCAACACTTATCATCAGAAACTAGCAATTTTACAACTTAAAAGAGTATTTTCATGCACTGATAGGGCAGTTTTAGATGAAAATCTTGAAATATGGATTAATATTTATCAAATTTTATATTCAATATCAAATCCACAGGCAAAAGATTTAATAATTTCAAAATAATCTCATTATTTAAGTCTGCGGAACAGTTTCCAATAGCTACAAAGTATATATTGGAGCCATTACTAACAAATTCACAACATAATCTTCTAATTTCACTGAAATTACTACTCAATTTCTCAGTTATAACCAAAGAAGTCTTTGATTACGACATGCAAATCATGGAACTCATTCAAAAAGGCATATCTGCAGGTGGACTCACTGAAATTGTTGCAATCAGGGGTTCTCGAGTATTTGAACACATTTGATGATAACACACGTACAACACAGTTCCTTGAACTCATACCAAATCTAATTCCTACAGTTTCCGATGAAGATTTTCCAGAATTATCAGACTTACTTCTCTACTTATCAAACAGCGAATACAAGAACTTCGATGCCACTACAATCTTTCCATTGATCATCGATACCATCTCAAACAAAGAATTCTCCCTAAAGAGAAGAAATTTGTCCCATCAAATTTTGTTGTCACTTTTTGAAAATTATGAAATTTTTGGTAAAAACTTAGAAACAGTTTCTTTGGGATATCAAGCGACAGAAAACTTGGCAGAAGATGCTTTCGATCAAAATGACAGCCGTGGTATCTCTCCTTACGATTTATACACAATTTGTTCTTTCTTCGACCTTTCTATAACCGAAATAACCGAATATTTTGCTTCAATTTTTTCAGAGAACTCTCAGAAAATTTTCGGAGCATTTTCAAAGTTCATCATCAACACTCAAGACAACATATTCTTCTACAGAAACAACATTGAATACTTCACTTCACTTTTGAAGTCATTTTTAGAGTCTTCTTCACTTTGTTTAATTGAATCAACTTTGGCCGCTTTCAGTTCACTTTTTGAATCCAATGAAGATGCTCTTGATCCGTACGTGAATGATATTTATATCAGTTCTCTTACTGCAGTTAAAAACAACTTGTCCAAAGAACTTTTATCAGCATTCAAAGATTTACTAAAAAGTGCCAGAAAAACTGACATAATTTTTGATGATTGTCTTAATATGATCATCGAAATTCTCCCTGACGGAAATACTGCAGATCAACAGGTAATGCTTGGAATTGTGGCAGAACTCGTTATCGGTTGTAACGGTTTGACAGAAAAACAGTTTACAACAGTTTTCCAAATTATTCAAGAAATTATGTCAGATTTTGACAATCCGCTTTTGTGTGATGCCGTTTACATCATTGGACATCTTTCCCAGAAAGGAAAAGAATATTTTGTTGATATATTATCAGATGTTGTCACTTTTCTTAGTACAGGCTTGAATTCTGATGACGAAACAATTTTAGTTTATTTCATAAATGCGTTTGGTTTCGTTGCCACTTCTTTTCCAGAACAAATTTATGAATCAATAAATGAGATTGTTTCACTTTTTGCTCAAATCTCTACTCAAGAGACATCAGATGACAACATCACAAGAAAACCAGGAGATTATGCTTTGAGATGGGGATGCAATTTATGTTCGATTTTCCCAGAAACTTTTATACAAAATTACGAAACATTTTTGAATTCAATTCGTGTGAGATCAAATATTCATTCTGCAATTGCAAGTGAATATTTTGCACGCGCAACTTATAATATAGAAGACGAAGAACTTATCAGAGGTTTGCAAATGAGTTTGGCGGAGATTTTAATACCAATGACCAAAAATGGAGATGTAGAATTGGTCGGACATTGTTTCACTTCACTTTCACTTATTTTTGAGAATTTGGACATAGAAAAACAAAGAAAGATTGCAAAACAAGCATTAAAGTGTTTCAACTTCACCCACAAATGTTTTACTTCCAAAACAGGAGTTTATTTGCAGGATTTGCATCCAAATGCAAATGAAATCATTAATTTGAGTTTGAATATTCCTGAATTAACAGAAACATTAGTTTCTTTCATTCCAAGTTTGATTCCTTTCACTAAAACAAAGGATCTTCTTTTATCTGATGCAATATTAATTGTTTTAACAAATTTGTTTGTTTTACAGCCGAATAATGAACATTCTTCTGACGTTTTCTTTGATGCAATTTCACAATTGGAAAGAAATTCATATGCTACTTTTTACTTGTTTGGAAGGTTTTCTAAGCTAAAATTACCAATTATTGATCAAAATAATTCCGAAATTTACGAAGAAGTCAAGAAGAGACTTTCACAAGAGAACAATGAACAAGACATTGAAAATATGATGTTGATTGACAATTGTTTGAGTTGTTTGAGTTATTTAGTAAGAAATTACGAATTTGATGTTCATGATTATGCACAAATTGCTTTAGCTTCGATGCCATGCAAATGTGATATTGACGAGAATTCGAATGTCATGTCTTTGTTCGAATTCATTTATTCTCAGCTTTCAGAAGATAACAAGTACAAAAATGTTTTTCACTGTTTTGGTTAAATTCTTCTCTGAATCTGTTGAACAACTAACCAGCGAAAAGATTGATTCAGATATGATATCAAGATTATCATTGATATTCAAGCAGGTTTCTGCATCAATTCCAAATCTCCAAAACAGTATCCAAGAAATTGTTTTAGATGACCAAGAAAATTATCAAACATTTTCAACATCCTCAATCAATATAGAAATAAAATAGAGCTTTTTATTATATTTTTAATTAACTTATAAGAATATATTAATGGAATAATCATACATTATGAAATATTTTTTGTATAAATAGTATAAAATGGCTTTAGCAACTTCAATAATGATAAGTCACTTAATTCAATCCATAAATCAATAAACTGAACAAAATATTCGAAGAATGGCATATGCGGACTATATTCATCAGATGTAAAACCATTTGGATTAAGATATTCGTAATCTGCACATGTGTCTGAAATGTCTCAATTTTCTGAAAAGTCAAAGGAAATTTTGGCAAAATTGTTTGACAATCTTTTTTGATTTTAAGTTCTAAACCACATTTAATTTTGTGATTAAAATGTTACTCGACAAAGGTATTAATAATCATAGATTTTTCTTTGTATTAATTAGATTATTAATTAATAATCATAGAATAATCATTTCTTTTATGGTTAATAAACAAAAACAATAAGCATAGAAATGACATTGCTGAAATGTAATCTTTTCAGTGCATCTTGATAATCAATGGATTAAGCAAATTCATTGAGGATAAATTTCTTAATTCAATCCATATATCAATGAATTGAACCCAATACTGATAAAAGGGTATATATGGAGCGATAATATCAGTTTTCAGACCAATTAATTGATCTCCATCACCATTATTCTTACATGAATAAAGTGTATATTGAGCCATTTCATCATTAACTGCATGCAATCCTATAAATTTATCCCAAGATCCGTTAGTATCTGGTAGCTGCTTATACCCTATTAATGATGGATTCGGTTCGGTAAAATGGCTATATTGATGCCATCGAATATATTGGGGAATCTGTGGAAGTTCAAGCATCATTGAATATACATTATCTGTGCCATTGTAAATTGTAAATTTTTCGTCTTTTTTACTTAATATAGGAGAAACAATGTTTGTTTGTGGAATAATATTTGCAGTATCATTATTAAAATAACAAATTCTTGAGTTAGATGAATATATTTTGAGCCAATGAGAGTCATTGTAAAATACCCTAAAGTTTTTGTTATTGGAATCTGACACGCCCGTAAATTTTTTATAAAAGCTCATTAATACAGCTCCCTGATTGGAAACATTCTTTTGTGACATATACCATATACTTATGTAGGCACTAGAGAATCTACCATATGATTTTAGTAGTCTACTAATGACATTCATAGTCCAATTAGACGAAATTTATTTTGCTTGTAAAACCACACTACATGAAGATCCAAACCCATTATTATAACATTATATTACTGGTACATAGTAGTATATATTGCTGAGGTTGAAATCTAAATCTAAAAAGTTATCAAGATATCAAACTAATGTAATTGGCCTAGTCTATTCAATTACAGATATATTAATATATATGATCCGGTGAATTGATTTATACATAGATGACATGATATATAAAAAAAATTATAATATTTTAAAATTAGAGTTAAAATTTACATATCTACATGCAAATGGCTAGAAATGTTATGCATATATCAATCTCGGTTGTGATTTTACTATATAGGAAAATATGTCGGAGTAATGATTCAAACTTTCAAAGTAATGCTTTATTTGAACAATATGAATTGAAATCATTTTGATAAGTTCAGGCTATGGAATGATAATGATATATAACAGTTTAAAAAAAGATAATATTATAAATTTTGAAAAGATTGATTATTTTTTATTTAATTTGGAATATTCTTAATTCCAATTGATGTAGATGTGGTATCATGTCAATTTTTGAAATTCGGCTAATTTTGGAAAGACATTTTGAATTGGGCATCAATTGTTCAAATTAAGCTTGGTTATTAATGTAAGTCAAATGCAAATAAGGGAGAAGACATATTTGTAATTAAATGTAACAAATTCACAATTTGAAGAAATATCAATATAATTTGAAAAAATTGTTAATTTCATAGACAACAAGATATCTATTGACACTGCATATAATTGTGAATATATTGTTCATTTCAAAATTAATAGAGATTTAAAAACTACATGCGTAAAATGAAAACTGATGATAAATGATATAAACTAATATGATTTTATAACATTGAGTGTTTTGATAAACTAAATAGATGTAGAATTCAATAATTATTGAAATATTAAGATTTTTAAAGATAAATACAAATCAATGGTAAATTTGTGCTTAAGGGATTTGTGAATAAGGTATATTGTTTATGTCTAATTATATGTATGGACAGGCAAGAAAATAAAGAGATTGTATAATGAGAATGGTGATTGCAAAAGTTTGACCGACAAGAGTGTAATATGCACTCCGGTCGGTCACAATGTGTCATTCCGGGAGACATTGCCACTGCATGTCTCCCAGATTGGCACACTGTTCCGCATTCATAACTTGAATGCGGAACTTTGACCGACAAGAGTGTAATATGCATCCTCCTGTCGGTCACAATGTGTCATTCCGGGAGACATTGCCACTGCATGTCTCCCAGAATGAGACAATTTGTTGCAATCAGAATGTGATTGCAAAAGTTTGACCGACAAGAGTGTAATATGCACTCTTGTTTTAATAAATTTTAAATACTATATAATTATCTTTACATACAATCTTTACATTATATTTTTTCCTAATTAATATTTATTTCATATTTTTTTGTGCTTTATCTAACTTATAGCATGTACTGAACTATTTTACAGACTCTACTGAGCTATCTCAACATATAAACCAGTGAAAAAAAACACATATATACTCACTTCATATTCTGATCTCATGCCATATTATCGCAAAAACTATATTTATACACCACACCTCATAAAACATCATTTTAGCCCTATCTAAGCGTTCAAAACCTATTTTTCCGCGTAATCTGATTCTTCAGGATCCGCTGATTCGATTTCTGCCGTCAGATCGCGAAAATATGCATTACATAACAAGATATACACAAATTACTAAACTTAATATTTTCCTTAAAATTTCTCTTGAAGTTCATACACAAACAACATAATTTTTTCAAAATCCAATTTTTTCAAAAAATGTATGCATTCAAAAGTTCAGATTATATCTAGTCATTATCCATTATTAATTTTGAATTTGATTTTTTGAGATATTCATTTTATTATACGTATTACTCAGAAAATTAAATGTATTTGTGAGGGAAAACGGAGAAGATAATAAATATTGTCATATAGAGGAATAAGCAATTTTAAGGAAAATATTAAGTTTAGTAATTTGTGTATATCTTGTTATGTAATGCATATTTTCGCGATCTGACGGCAGAAATCGAATCAGCGGATCCTGAAGAATCAGATTACGCGGGAAAAATAGGTTTTGAACGCTTAGATAGGGCTAAAATGATGTTTTATGAGGTGTGGTGTATAAATATAGTTTTTGCGATAATATGGCATGAGATCAGAATATGAAGTGAGTATATATGTGTTTTTTTTTCACTGGTTTATATGTTGAGATAGCTCAGTAGAGTCTGTAAAATAGTTCAGTACATGCTATAAGTTAGATAAAGCACAAAAAAATATGAAATAAATATTAATTAGGAAAAAATATAATGTAAAGATTGTATGTAAAGATAATTATATAATATTTAAAATTTATTAAAACAAGAGTGCATATTACACTCTTGTCGGTCAAACTTTTGCAATCACATTCTGATTGCAACAAATTGTCTCATTCTGGGAGACATGCAGTGGCAATGTCTCCCGGAATGACACATTGTGACCGACAGGAGTGCATATTACACCCTTATCGGTCAAAATACCGCTATCTGAACCCAATTCCGGACCAGTACCTCATTTTGCGATTAATCCAATGGGAATCACTTCCAACATTAGAACTTTATAGGTGGATCCCACTAATTTATTAAATTGTTCGATCTATTCCTGCATACTACTTTCAAATTAAGAAAGTTCTTGTCTAATGCATGAATATTTTCATACGCATTGCATCAATGATCTAACAATTTAAAGCTCGCTAACAACCTAAAGCAAAAAACAAAATGATCTGCTAACTATGCAGGCAGCTCAAGCGCACCAAGGGGAGGCGTTTTTCTGAATTGGGCGATCTTCGTGAGATCTCAGGAGGCGAAGATTCGGAACCCAACCGGCTTCAAGCTGTAACATCTTGCTAGCAGGCCATACATTTTTAAACCGCCTCTAACCGTTCATCTCGACCACATTATCGGCATTCATATATATATTTGAATATTAAGACAAATAAAACCATTTGTTTGATCGAAATTGAGTAATTTATTGTTAAAATAAAAAAAATTAAGAAAAAAGTTTGTCATTTTCTTTGATATTTATATATTTGAAATCTACCTTATAAATATATCATTAATTTTATCCCATTTTAATATTATGAGTATCAAATGCGAAAATCAAAAAAAATACTGTCCTGATTCGAACTCAATCCATTTAATCTTGGCATACAGACCATCCCATTATGCCAAAAAGATTACTGTTTGTTTTCTAATAATAATATAAGATCGCTTATTTTTTATTTTGCTTCTATTAAAATTTAGCATTTTATATCACCAATCATTAATCTTCTTAAGTAAGATTTATATTTTCACTTTATAATTTGTTCTAATCGAATATTTTTTTTTATTCAAAAATTTTAACCCTATTTTTTGATAATAAATGTACCACCACATTTTCTACCTATATTTGATAAATGTCAAACATATTTTTACTTAATTTCCTTTAATTTTTTTAATATTTTTTTTTATTCAGTCTCAATTTCATATTACTTTATATATTCTGGATATAAATTCCATAACTATA